TAATTAGACAAGCCCTTGGAAAAACAGAGCTAACTTCTCCTCAATCCCATTTCATTTCCCAGACCCACCCAGCCTTTCTGCACACGCCATGCTGACTGGGAAGCCCAGTCAGGGTGCTCTAACCAGCTCTGTGTCCTGGCTTGTCATGGCGTGGATCTGGGCCTCAGTTTCCTTACCTGTACAATAGAGACATTAGCCTAATAACCACAAGGTCTGTTTCAGCACTAATAAACCATTATTCTGTTTCCTCTAAGGGAACAACAGCAAGTCAAGAAGTAAGAAGTTAACTCTCTCACAGTATCTCTGATCTAGAAATATTTAAAGATACAAGTTGGTCATGAGGAAGAGAGGCCAAATAAGGTATTCTCTTATTATAGATTAGAAAAGATCTGCACACATATTTATTATTAACTAGTAATTGTACTCACCTTATGTGAAAATTATAGAGCATATTTTATTATTGTTCCCACATGCTAGGATCTTTTCCCTGGTTATTATTCTAACAGCCATATGAAATATAGATGGCAGGTGCGCTGTAGGTGTGCACAGGGGCAGCTGAGACAGAGGCGGTAGGCCATTTGTGTTGCCATGAAAAGTGGGTGAACCTTCAAGGTAGGGAGTTTATGCCCAAATTGACTTTAACCAGACAACTGGAGCAAGTTACTTCCTTTTCTAGGCCTCAGTTCCTTCTGAGTCAGGAGAGCCCAGATACATCACTGTGATGGTCTTTTGATATCTAATTTTAAAATATTTTGTGAAGATAAACAGCATAAATTTTGAACCATCCCATTTCCAGGCCTTGGATTCACTAGAACAATATAATTATTATTAAAGAGCTGAAATATTTTTATGTATAATCCCAGTAAATAGCCCCTGCCCTGAGCCTCACTAGGACCCAAATCCAACCCCTGTGGCCACACCAGGATTTGGCAATCAAGGGGGCAAAGCCTGGCACAGAGGGGATCAGGGCTCCTGCCAGGCCCTGCTCCAGCAGGAGAGCTACTGATTGGTCCTGGCCTAGGCCATAATAGATATTTCAAGGATCAGTTCTGTCACGCTCAGGCACTGGGTTTCATTGGCAGTAAACCCTCACTGCATGCTCAGAGCCACTTTAAAACCTTTGTGATTCCAAGAGAAGAGGATTTCATATCCCCAAGTGACCTCTTCTCCAAGCCAAAATTTTGATCAAGGAGATGGCATTTGATAAAAGTAAAGAGGAATCTTACCCAATGTACTTTAAGTTCCTCTCCATAAAACTTGGTTAATCTATTCGTCTCCTGTAAGATTGGTATTTTGCTGAATTCTTATGCATACCAATATGGAATGATCTCTAATATCCAATAGGTAAATAAAAGAGTATAAATGTGGGTAAATCAAAACATACAAAGGAATACATTTTATAAAGTTAAAATGGTTAAAAGTGTAATAATGGACTAGTTACCAGCCACGAATACTATAAGACCATGTAGTGAAGGAAGGTCCTAATTTCTGTCTGCAGGGTAGGACTTGGTTGAGGAGAGACCCATGAGGAGAGGGCTGTTGTGCAGATAGAGCAGATAGAGACACAGAGTGCAAGAGACACAGGGAGACAGACTAAAACAAGGGAGCCAGTGGCTGCCTACCGAGATGGGGATGGAAATAGGACCGAGGAGATGCTACATTGGTTTCAGTTTTACCTTTTTCAGTTTTATCTCTTTTAGAGATGAAATTAGTCTTGTTTTATCTCTTCTAAGAATAAAATATTAGATGCAAATATAAAACAAACAGTAATAGTTACTTGTTCTAGAAGAAATTCTAGTGTATGTTCTATTGGCTTTTCTATTTTTCTATTTTTTTTTTAATTTCTAGGAAGGAATTGAAGTGCATGTTAACAGATTCTCCATGGCTATGCAGTATCCAAGCCCTCAGATGTGATGGTAAGAATTATTTAGAAGCTTTCCCCATCGTCCTCACTCAACTTCAGTCTGCCCAGGCATCTCAGATTTCCAAATCAGTTCTACCTAGCCCACTGTTAATTTATAATCTGTGCTTTTTTAATGATTAAAACTAAAGTCATTCTTTGGGCCTAGTGGTGCACTCCTGTAATCCCAGAGACATGGGAGGCTGAGGCAGGAAGATTGCAAGTTGGAGGTCAGCCAGAGCAACTTAGCAAGAACCTATCTCAAAACAAAAATTTAGAAATGGGCTGAGGATGTATCTCAGTGGTAGAACATCCCTGGGTTCAATTCCCAGTACCATCAATTAAAAAAAAAAAAAAAAGAAAGGCCATTCATTAGTTCAACAAACATTTGTCAAATGCAATACAATATCAGGCATACTGGGATGAGTGATCCATAGTTGATCTAGGAGGTCAGACAGGTATATGAGCAATAAAACAACAGTGCACTGCAATTAATGTATAATAACAGCATCTTTACAAAATATTGTGTGGGAGTTTTAAAGGCACAATTCATGGAAAGACAACAAAAATAGCCTATTGAGGTTTATAGCTGAAGAAAAGAAGAGGGAAATGACACCCATGGAACCCCTTTTATATTCCAATGTTGTGGTTTAGATCTCAAATGTCCCCCAAAGGCCCACATGCTAAAGGCCTGGTCACCAGCCTGTGGTTCCACTGGAAGGTGGTAGAACTTTTAAGTGGGACCTAATGGGAGAAATTTAAGTCATCGGTGGATCGTGCCCTTGAAGGGGCTATTGGGACCCCAGCCCCTTTCTGTTTCTCTTTTCTTCCTGGCCACCAGGAGGTAAACAGCCCTCCTCCAGGCCCAAAAACAATAGAGCCAGAAACCTCTGCAACCATGAGCCAAAATACATTTGCTTCCTTATAAGTTAACTTTCTTAGATATTTTATCACCGCAACAGGAAGCTGAGGGATAGAGCCAGTTACCCACAGAGCTCAAAACTCACAGCAACCCCATGGGGTAGGTAACACTGTTCCTCTACTCTGAAGTTGAGGAAACAGAAGCAATGAGGAGGCAGATAACCCTGTGAAATCAAGAACAATTGCGTTTCTAGCCCAGACTTGAAAATTCAAGGCTGAGAAGGAGGTAGACTTGAAGAGCTAGATTCTACCTTCTCCTAAGGAAGAATTGGGAGACTTCTGGTACCCATGCCGTCACTCTTTTTCCTTGGGATGCTCACTGGTAATAAAAGATCAAGGTCACATGCAGCTTGAGGCATCTTCTTACTTATCCTAAAAGAAGACCTGAACACCATCTGGCTTAATGAAGATCAGTGGGATGCAGGCTTCATTCTAAATAGTCGTCTTGCATCGAACTCTTGCCTAACTTCACTAAGCTGCCTGACTTTAGAGGGTATTTCACTTCCACCTGTGTGGGCACGTTCTTCTGGCCCAACTAGAGCCACAGAAGGCAGCTCGGCCTTGGAGGAGGCGTCAGGGGCTGGGAGAGGTTCGAGGACAGCTGAGGGGAGGCACCGCCCTGGGTGCTGCCTAATCCATCCGACACGGGGACACACTGTACCAGAAACAGAACAACAATTAATAGAAAAAATCTGCTCTCACAGCATTGCCAGGCTTGTTGCAGGGTCTCAGCTGGTGGCACGCCTCCTCAGGGGAAGAGCAACAATGCCCAATTCTTCCTTTTGGCCCCCGTCCTGATGTTTTCTCAGGTGGAAGGAGGTGGAAGTAGGAAGTTTCCTCTCGTGGTAAGAAAACGTTGCCCAAACAATAGTGCCAGTCCTCAAAGCCAAAAGCCCAAGAGTTACAATAAGATAGAGGGCTTGGAGCTCACTCAGCATTCAGCCCATCTAAACCCACGAAGCCCTTTTGACAAATGTCAAGTGTTGGCAGATACAACATCTCTAGCCAAGGTGCCTAAGAGTAATCTGACCTTTTTTTAAGTCACCAAACCTCTCTCTGCTCTTTATCATTTGCCTGCACAGATATTTTTCTCAGCTCAAATGTTTCAGATGATTCAATAAACCCCGGCTGACCGTGCTATGACTTATTCAGGTTCAACAGATGCAGACTGCAGAGAGATCGAAGACTCCTGGGAAACCAAGCAGTCTGGCCCCAGGTTTTCTGCCTTCCTGTTCCTTTCTGGGTAACTTCTGACCTATCATTGTTCTCAACATTTAAGGGCCACACGGAATCTTTGGAGAATATCACAAAAGCTACGTACAAAGTTCCATTCTATGCATAAACCCTCAAACGTTTGCACGTAAGTTCAGGGGATACTGTCACTGTTCCAATGTCACTAGTGCACCCTCCTTCAGTCCCTGAGCCCCAAGGTCAGAACCCCAACCACAGACAAAGAAGACACAGAAGTTCATCCTTCTTGGTCACCTAGTCTCACCAGCAGACACCAACCTGAATCTCATCTAAGCAAGCTTTTGCCACCCCTTCCGATCCTCCCCCAACCCCTCACATGGAAACCCTAGCTGAAGTTCAAGTTTCTGTTCTGGAACTGCCACCCAGGCTCCCTTGAGCCATTTGGTCACATCCATCTCTGGGGCCAGGCAGGTGGATGCTAATTCACCATGTTAACCCCTTTCATGCCAGTGCCCCTTAACGGAGCCTTGGCAGAGTGCCACATCCTACCACCCCACCCCTGCCAAAAAGGGGTGCAGTACTCTGTGCCATGGAAGCTAGCCAGCAGATTAGAAGTCGTGTTGCTCTTGGCATCTGTTCCAGGACTCTGTGTAGAGCTACGTGCTGAAATACCATGGCACATAATAAATTTAAAACATCTACTTCAGTTGCCCTCAAATTCAACTGCCTTCCAAATTATCCTCATCACAAAAGACCATCTGACCAATGGGAATCAGCAGCCACATAAAACCATGGGGTCCATGGTTTGGTTCCCACAGATCTCGACACAGCCTTTAGTCCATACTGAGAACAAGGGTTCAGACAGGAGTCTCCTCCAAGATCACTCGGACCCCACGACCAGAAGCTCGTTCAAGAGACCAAAAAAAGATGAAAACAGCATCTTTAGATCAAAAGAGGCATCTTTTCCCCCAATAAAAATCCATCTTACCCTTCATTCCAAATTTGGACCGTCGACCATACTTGTTGATCATGATGAAGAGAACCACCAAAAGGACGCAGGCGAACGCAGCTAGTCCAACCGCGATGGACACCTATGAAGAGCCAAGCACAGCAGGTCAGGGCAGCCATGGAACACCGGAGAGCCCACATGAGAACAGTCCTACTGCAGAGCAACCACAGCCCACTCCGAACTTAGCTACCGAGTAAGGCCCTTAGAAGAAGTATTTTATAACACCCTGTGGTAGCACGTGGCTGCCATTCCAGCTACTCAGCAGGAGGATCACAAGTTCAAGGCCACCTGGGCAACTTGGTGAGACTCTGTCTCAAAATGGAAAGTAAATGCAGGTGGAAATGTAGCTCCATGATAGAGCAGCCCTGAGTTCCATCTCCAGTACCAAAATAAATAAATAAGTAAATAAAAATGAAAATCATCCATTTTGATTAAAACAATATGAGTCAATATTCTGAAGCCCCTCGCCTGGAGTTCTGTTCTAGAGATGCAAAAGAAAGCCTGTAGAAACTTCTGTCTCTTGTTTTAATTAGCAAACCAATTCTATATCTTCATATTTACATTTCTGACATTTTTAACATAATATTCCAATCCAAGAAGGCCTAAGAGATCTGGACCCTGAAGACTCCATTAGACCCTTCCCCAGGGAAATCTCAGGCTCTGAGAGAGCGGGACTTGAAAAAGCCACCCAAGGAGAGGCCCAAGCAACTCAGACTTCGACTTGTACGGTGATCAGGCCCTGCGAAGGAAAGAAGCCCAGCCAGGATCTGACTGACTGCGCATTTTCAAACCGTTCTCTTCTGACCCCCAGGGCTTGGAGCAGATCCAAAGATCCTCAAACAACCAACTATTCCCATCAAACAAAGAAGGTCTTAAACCACCTAAAAGGAGATCATCTGTCATTGCTTTTTTTCTGCCCTAAATACTAAGGTTCCAAGTAAGTTAATATTTGGAAAAGCAAGTCAAATTAAGTCTTAACATGACTACACCAATAAACACGTTTCCCTTAACCAACAAGCCACTCACCCCAAAGGTGTCTTCCTCTGGTTTGTGGGTCACAGTGATAGGAGGTGTAGGGCTTACTTCAGACTCTGAAAATCAAATACAAAAGGAGAAGGACAGTTAGCTTCCTGGCCCTGGGAGGCCCAGACATAGTCCCCGCCCACCTCTCGGTCCCTCTTGATACTTCCTGTTGGAGAAGGCCCTCTGGAGGCCATGATCCTCCAGGCCTCCCTCCCAGGTTTGCAAGAGAACCCCTAAGGGCAGGCCCTGTCTGGCCACCGGGCTGGTGCTCCAGCTGCAGGACAGGATCCATAGGGGGAAAAGGGCCTTCATTCCCATCTTCTACTTCCACCCCAGAGAAAATACTGTCACCTGTGCATGAACTATGGGATAGAAAAGAGGAAATGACTTGGGATCCAGGCCAGATTAGGAACTAGGCAGATTTCATCGATGATGGCAGCTGTTCCTAATATTTTTTAACTCCTTGCCGAGGGCATCTCGTACCCCATCCCTGCTTCTCCTGCACCCATCCTCTCTCCCTCATTATTCCTCAGTGAGATCAGGCCTGTGGTCTCAGAAACAACCCAGTATCCATCTCCCTTACACTGATTTCAGAACACAATGGCAGCTCAACTTGAACAACATAACCACCTGATCAGGAAATACCGCCTTTATCCAGGAAACCTGGATAGGAAGCCACATATTGGCTTGTCCTTCAGCCAGAACACTCCCCCCCCACCCCCCGGCAAGAAATGGCCCCAACTCAGAATTCTCTAAAGGGACATCTGTGGGATTACAAGTCCTCAACATCATGTTCATCCACAGGACTGGGATCCTAGTTAGAATAAGACAGGATTCCATGTTTGTATAAATATATCAAAAGAGACTTTTCTGTCAAGTATAACTAACAAGAACAAATAAAAATGAAAACAAATAAAGAAAAGACTGAGGACAACTAAGAGAATCATAGATGATATTTACATCAGTGCCAAATGGCCAAAAGTATCACTAAACAGGACAGACACTGGGCAGAAGTGGAAATGACTACTATTATTCCCTCAGGCAAAACCTCAAATCCTTTTGGGATTATCTAGCCTTAGTACCAAATCACTTATAAACTGAGCCTCAATTATTCCATTTGGGGACCACATGTATCCATTAGGAGGCCTTGTAAATCACAACTCTACTTGGGGGTGGGTTCTGGTCAAATTCTTGGGCGCTTGAAGCAAGTGAGAACCATTAGTAGGTTTATAAGTTCCATATGGTTTCTGCCAGAAGAATGGAAATTTTGAGGAGGGGTATACCAGGGCACATAAAACCATACGGTCATCCCCTTTTCGTCTAGGTAGGGAGACCCACAACATGACCATACCTTAGAAAACTCCCTGGGGAAAACTGAGCCAATGACCCAAGAAAAATGGGCTTGGAACTGTCCAAGTAAAACTGCACTTCTACTCTCTAGTCCCTTTTCAAAATTCACTCAGATGCCCAGTGCTACTATGGGGCAGGAAATAATGTGAAATAGGACAGAGGACTGTTTGGATTCCATAGCTACCAAAACAATCAGAATAAATCATTTTCAAAGCAAAAGGTAAAGTGGACTTACCAAAGTCAAAGATATCTGTGCTCTCTGTAAAAAAGGACAAAACAGGTCATTAGCAAACGTAAGACAAAATAGAATAGGAACACCACATCATACTGATAGCTGTGACCTCTCCCACTCCCCATGATCTCCTATTCCCATAACAAGTGACACATGCTAAAATTCCTGACACACCATATGTGCCCTAAGCATGGCACCAACTCTTTACRGAGTGGTCCTCCAATTGGGAGAAGGAATGAGAGGTAAAGCTCCTGGTTCCAAAGGCGGAGACCCACATGGGAACCAGAAACCAAACTGGTTTAATTATGAGATGGGGATTTAACCCTGATCCACTATCTCACCTATGACCCTTCCTCCTTCAGGATCCAGAGTGTGTGGCCATGGTGTGGCAGGGTGGGGCCAACTGTGATCTCAAATTGAAATTCCTTAAAGTGATAAGTGCAGTTGATTCTAGTAGGTCACTGAGAAGTTGGGAGTCCCTCGAGATTCCCATCTAGATTCCATTCTCTAGAATCTGCCCATCCTTCAGATGGAGAGAGTTATTTATTTGAGCATTGGCCTCTAGAAGTGGCTTACCAAATAATGAAAGCTAATCCTAAACTAGGCATTGATTATGAGCCAGAGGCTGTGCTAAGCATTCCAGGTAACATATCACTCAGTCCTTACATCCTCGGAGGTAGGAGGCAACATCTCCACTTAAACAATCAGGGAACGGGTTATAGGGATTAAGTAATAAATTAATGCCATTCATCTAAGAAGGGATTAGAGCTGGATTTATAACTACTCTACCAGAGACATTTAAACTTTAATGTGCCATGGAATCATCTGAAGGGCTACTGCTACCTTTCTTCACAGAAAGGAATGAGTATTCCTTGAAGAAATGAATGATTCAGGGCCAATATAGAGAAAACGCAAGATGGAGCTAGAATAGCTTATAGTACTAGAGAGTGAAAAAGTGCTTGAAGATTAATGGGGACCTAGAGAGAGAGCTGAGAAGGGGGCTTCTAATAGCCAAATGTAGAAAAATAGTAAAAGCCATGGATTATCATGGACTGAATTATGTCACTCCCACCAAAATCCATGTATTAAAGTTGTAACAGGACTGGGGTGTGGCTCAGTGGTAGAACGCTTGCTTCACATGTGTGAGGCTCTGGGTTCAATTCTCAGCACTGCATATAAATAAATGAATAAAATAAAGGTCCATCAATAGATATATACATAAGTTGTAACATCCAATACTTAAGAATTTGACTGAATTTTAAGAAGGTACTGGAGATAAAATGAGGTCATCAGTGTGGCCTCTAATTCATCATGACCGGTGTCCTGATGAAAGGAGATTAGGACCCAGACATGCACAGAGGGAGGCCAGGTGAGGACAGGGAGAACACGGCACCCACAAGCAAAGATCAGAGGCCTCAAAAGAAACCAACCCTACCAATACTAAATCCAGATTTCTAGCCTCCAGAATTGTGAGAAAATGCATTTCTGTTGTTTAAGCCATTCTGTCTCAGTACGTTACTATGACAAACCTAGAAAATGAATACATAAATTATAAAAATATCTACAAATCCATACAGATACAACAAGTAATTGAATAAATAAATGAGAGAAGAAGGGAAAGCTCTTCCTTATGGTAAAATTCCAGCTAGTAGACAGAGAAGGAATGATAGAAATAGAAAAATCACCATTTGGCAAGTACTACAGTAATGATTGTTTCAGGCAAGAACCATCAATGAATGCTAAAATTAATGCATGAAAGAATAATGAGAAACAAGCCATTTATGTGGTTTCAAATCATTATCCTTACAAAGGAGAAAAGAGTGACTTTGCAGTGGAGGAACCTAGTAGACACCATCTTGACCAAACGATAAAGTCAACATCACTGATGACAAGACATAAACACTGTCTACTCCCTGATACAGTGTACCAGGAGGGCAGAGCATCACTTCTGTGATGTTCTTCAAAAATGCATAACTTGAATTTAGTCATGAGAAATGAATATAAATTGAGGGATATAGTCTACAAAATATTGAGTCTTCTACAATGGTGCGAAGACAGTGTACGACAAAGACTGGGGAACTGTCTCAGGCTTAGAAATACTAAGGTAAAGTAGAAATAAAAGCAAGATATGATTCTGAATTGGATCCCAGGTGACAAAAGAATGTCAGTGGGACAAGTGACAAGATTTAAGTCAAGCTAGACTGGGTGTGGTAGGGCATGTTTGTGATACAAGCAACTTGGGAGGCTGAAGCCGGAGAATTTCATGTTGGAGGCCAGCCTCAGCAACTTCACAAGACCCTGTCTTGAAATATAAAATTAAAAAGGGCTGGATAAGCAGTGGTATGTACCCCTGGGTTCAATCCCCAATACCAAAAAAATAAAAATAAAAAAGGACAGAAACACCCCCAGAATTTCTGATACATAGGTCTGGGTGGGTCTCAAGAATTTGCATTTCTTTTTTTTTTAAATTAGACAATATGATGGATGTATGTACATTCCATGTATGTATTATATGTCAAAATGCATTCTACTGTCATGTGTGACTAAAAAATAAATAAATAAAAATTTTTTAAAAAAGAATTTGCATTTCTAACCAGTTCTCAGAGATGCTGATGCTACATGATACTACACCTCTGCCTGCCACACCCTGAAAAACAAGAGCAATTCATTCATTCACTCATTTATTCATTCACTGTGGGTCTTCTACTCACCAGACCTTTGGCTAAGCCAGAACGGCCATGTAACCCTAGATCTATTACGTATCTAACTACCTGTGGGGATGGGATGCTTTGTGTGATGGAGTCCTTCAGAGAAGGTCCTATTAACACTGTCATTTGATGGCTTGTTTGTTGTCTGCTGTGTTGTCACAGGGGACAGCAACAGAGCTTTCTCCAAACCCCTGAACATACATACCCTTTCACGTCACCACTCCCTCCTCAACTGCAGATGGCCTGACTTGAGGGGAGGATGGCTGAGATGGGCCCCGGCTTCAGAGCCTGAGCTGAGAGAGGGGCCAGATCCATTTGCAGAAGCTATTAATTTGCAAATTTCTCATAAGGCTCCCATTTATTAGAGAACATTCTCATGTCAGCCAAATGTTTTGGCTGAATCTCTTAACCCTATAATCTCCAAATCAGCTTATGAACAGTAAAGTCCTCTGCTGGAGCCTGGAAGTGTTTATACATTCAGGAACCTCTGGAAGAGGGAGACTTGGGCTGCTCTCTAACCTGTGGGAGGGACTCCGAAGTACATAGCAGAGGATGGTCCCATGAAGGCTCCTGCACTCTGAGCCCCACCAACAGGCCAGGAGGAGGACTGGACCAGCATGCCTAGCACCACAGGAACGCCAACTGGGCTGCACAATGAATGGAATGGATGTGCCTCCTACAGCCCAGACATTAACTCCCCCAGAAGTCAAGGATTCATCTGCACCACAACCCTAGAGGGAGAAGCGCAGAGACAAGTAATTTGCCTGAAGTCACACAGCTAAGGAGTGATGGAGTGAGTTTGAACCCTAGCAGGTGGCTGCATAACCATCACCCTAGACTGCCTGAAGTCTATTAGAATCTGCTAGTTTTTTTGGTTTTGATTTTATGCATATGTTTTTTGTTTTATTTTTGTTTTTGTTGGTTTTGTTTTTACAGTACTGGAGACTGAACCTAGAGGTGCTCTACCACAGAGCTAATGTCCAACCCTTTATTATTTATTTATTTTTTCCAAGACAGTCTCACTAAGTTGCTCAGGCTGGCCTGGAACTTGTGATCCTCCTGCCTCAGCCTCCCGAAGTATATGGGATTACAGGCATTCACCACCATGCCCAGCCAGGACTTACTGGATCCACCAGAGATTGACAATTGGTTCTAAATGTCTGAATTCACCTTATAAATCTAGCAATGGCCAATAGCAACTAAGTCTTTTCTCTGTGCAGACATACTGCTGAGCCCTTGCATCTATGACTTCATTTAATCCTCATGACAACTTAGGTGGGGGTGGGGGGGTATTGTGATCATTCCCATTTCACAGATGAAGAAACAGAAGCATAAAGTACCGACCATGGACTAAGCCCCATTCTAAGATCCCAGGCCACCTGTCTGGGAGGACCACAGATGGGATGTGCAACTAAATCAGGCTGATTTTAGAGCCCTTACTCTTAACCTTGACACTTCGATGCCCAGAAGCAAGGGAGAGGTACTTATGGTAAATAAGATCTTCTCCACACCCTCCTGTCAGGAGGGAAGAGCAGGGATCTGCAGACTGGCTTTGTATCTAGTGCTCAGCCAGCGTAAGGTTTATTTGAGAGGGTTATATGGTATCCTTGCCTGTTCCCCCAGATAATTTACTCTTCTGAACATTTAGACATCTTGTCACTTGACATGACTGGCCCATCTCTTCCCTGTCATTACCTTTTCATCATCCATTGATTCCTTTAACATAAAGTCTCATAAAACAAGCAACCTCCACACAGCGTGGTCCTGGCAGAGTGTGGATGGGGCTGAGAAACACACCTCAGGTGAGCTGCCTTCTCTCTGAGCTTGTGTGTGGCTCCATCCTTCGCCTCCCTCTTGGAGCCAGATTCTCACTAAATGCCACAGCAGCAGATTGCAAAGGAGGGATATCCCAGTCACCTGGGGGCTTGATGAAGTACAGCTGTGGGACCCTGACCCAGAGTTTCTGATTTAGAAGAACTGAGGGGGTTTGACCATTTCAATTTTAATCCATTCCCAGGTGATGCTGGGGCTGCTGGTCTGGGGACCACACTTTGAGAACCACTGGCCTAAGGAGTCTTTGTAGCTGGCTGTGGAGATGAGGGCATCCAGGGACTAGGAGATGGGCTGCTTCAGCTTGTGAGGCATCAGGGAGTGTAAATGCTGCTTTCAAATATCAGAATTCAATCTCTAATCAGGTGGGTACAGGGGGAGCAAAGGACTGGGTCTAGCCTGATTTTATGACCTTGAGAGCACATTTGAAAGCCTCTACTTCTACAATACAGGCTAGGATCCTTCTCCCTGAAGGAGCCAAGCATGGTCCTAAACAGGAATTGTCTTGGGGTTTCTTACAGGGCCTGTTGGAGATGATGCTGGAAACGTCAGACCACGTGAGATTTGCAGCGCCTAAAACCTCAGCATGCTCTCCATCTTCTCTGCAAAGATGGCTCCCTCAAACCCTGGACCCCAGTGGCAAAAATTTAGCTTTGCTTGTGGCCTTCAGCTGCCCAGCTTCACTCTAATCCCAATTCCCTTGTCCTGAGATAAATAAGCCTCCCAGAGCCACGACCCCGTAGCTATCTACAGACCAAGAAGTTACCTTCATGAAAGCAGATTCGCTGCTGACCAGCAAACAGAGAGAGGAGCCAAATTCTGTGACATGTGCTCTGTATAACTGAACTCATTTAAAAGCCACAAAATGCCAGATGTGGTGGCACATCCCTGTAATCCCAGCAACTCAGGAGGCTGAGGTAGAAGGACTATAAGTTTGAAGCAAACCTGGACAACGTAGGAAGACCCTGCCTCAAAAAAATAAAAATAAAAAGGGCCGAGGATGTAGCTCAGTAGTAGAACACCCCTGGGTTCAATCCTCAATACCACCAAGAAAGTAATTAATTAAATAAATAATACAACCATAAAAGCCACAAGACCCTGACAGGAGCAGTATCATCATGCCCATTTCATAGTTGAGAAAATCAAGGATTAGAAAAACTACCAGGTCCAGGATCTCCCAACAAATAAAAGGCTGGGGGGAAATTCTCCACCATTATTGACCATCTCTGAAGTCCTGCTCTCTCTGCTGTAACACAGTATGCTCTTAGATGGACAACCGTGTACTTCTGAGATGTCTTAGATTTTACTCGGAGAGGTTTTGGAAAACAGGGACTTCATCCCAGCTTATACAAAACGCAGAGGGTGGCTACCCGTGCCCCAGTGTGTTTAGTTACCTGCGATAACTATACGAAGATGAGTGACTCTTCTCCTCTCAAACTACCACCCCCACCCCCAACTCCCAGAGGGAACCTGTGCACCCCCAGGGCCAGCTGGGCTGCCCTCACCTGGAAAGGGCTCCTTGAGGAAGTGTCCGTTGATGGTCTGGTTGGCAGTGCCCAGGGGGTTTTTAGCAATAAGGGTGTAGTTGCCGTTGTTGTAGTGGGTGGGCTTGTTGAAGAGCAGGCAGCCCTCCGAGACCTCGCCCTCCTGGTAGTACTCCACGTGGATGATCTTGGACTCCCGCAGCGGCTGCCCGTTGTGCAGCCAGTGCAGCGTGGGTGGCGGGTTCCCGCGCACCACGAACTCGATGCAATGCTCCAGGCGCAGCTCGGGCTCCTCCAGGCTCACCACGCGTGGGGGGTCTGTGGGGGAAGAGGCCAGCTGAAATCCTGGACACCAGGACTCCTGGGTCCCAGAGCAGCCTTCCAGCAGCTGAGATGGGATCCCCGTTCTCCCCCACCCAGCTCTGAAAAGACAGAGAGAAGCAGAATCCCACCGCCCCCCATCCAGGCTTCCTGGATCTATCTGAACTGCACGATTCCCTCTCAAGGCATTTTAGGGGTTCAACCAAAGATAGAAAAGGCCAGCTCAGGAGTGTCCTGAAGATGTAGTTGAACTGGAAGCACAGCATCTTCTGAGGGCAAGGATACCCTTTCTTGGGTTTACTATATAAGAACTTCTTTCATTTTATTTACTTTTGGTGTTGGGGATTGAACCCAGGGACTCTATCATTGAGCTACATCCCCAGCCCTTTTTATTTTTTATTTTGAGACAGAGTCTCGCTAAGTTGCTTAGAGCCTCACTAAGTTGTGGAGGCTGGCCTCAAACTTGTGATCCTCCTACCTCAGCCTCGCACATTTCTGGAATGACCGGTGTGTGCCATTGCAGCCTGCATTCAAGCAATTACTTCTCAGTCCTGCCCTATGAAAGCTTTTCTACCTGTGATGGTGGCCCAGGGTCATTGCTCTCCCTCAGTTCTAGCCATGTCTCTGCCCCTCCCCAGACTCTGAACCAGCACCCTCTTAGTACCCAGCCACCCTGCCTGCACTTACAGTAGACGGTGAGGGCAACACTGGCATTGCTCATGCCCACCACATTCTCTGCAATGCATGTCAGGGTGAAGCCATTGTCCTCGCTCGTCACATTCACCAGTGTCAAGTTGATGGCATGTACATTGGTCCAATTCAGATTCGTCTGAAAACCCAAATAAAAAGACAAAAATCAGTTTCTAAGAGGGCATTCTCCTCCCTAACCCTGGACACCTTCTGGATTCGAGAGGAAGGCACAACAGGTAGGGAAGAAGGTATCCTGGTGAAAGAACACTGACCAAATGCCAAGCTCTTCATGGTCAATAACTGTCCTCCCATTAACGTTATGTTTTGAATATTAGCATTATACCCATTTCACAGATGAAGAAACTAAGGTACCGAGAGGCTGATAGTATGCATAAGGTCAAAATGGCTAGAAAATATTTCAGCTGGATGGAATCCAAGTCCACATTTCTTTCTATAATGACAGAACCACAAGCTTTCCCTCTTTATGACTAACAGGTGATGGTTCCTTAGCACCCCAATGGGTGCTGATGCCAGGATGCCTACCTGGTGGGTGTTGATGGACTGCAGCCCTGTGACGATCCAGTCCACATCAGGCAAGGGCGATCCAGAGCCGTTGCAAGTGATGACAGCATTGTCACCCTCTCGGACAGTCAGGTTGACATGGCTCACGCTGATCTCAGGAAGGTCTAGGAGCAAAGCAGATAACAGATGGGGTGACAAGACAGGTGAACCCCCCCCCCAAAAGAAGCTCTCTCCGTGGGGCTGATGGTGGCACTTATCGCCTTGACCAACAACAACGCCAACACCATTTGTTGGAGTTCTTGGAAGACCTTCCCCAAACTCCAGATGCTTTACACCCCCTTCCCAGTGGACATCAGAGCTCAGAGTTGAAGCCCGTACAGTTGTTTGCTCCCCGCATCAGGGCACGGAGGGGGCAGCTGCCCAAGGAACGCATTTTAACAACTCAACCCAATGGCTCCGTTCTACTTAGGGAACTGCGACTCACAAAATCCGTGTGCTTGGTCACCACAGGGAACCATCTAGAAATTCAGACTTCTGGGACCTATCCCTACACATGGTGAACTCAAAGGTCTGTGGTTGGGCCCAGAAATTGGCTTTTCCTCAAAGCACCTTAGAAACTTCCTATAGAGGCAGTCTGGACACCACACTTTGAGACATGCACCTTCAGATTTGGTTGAAAGGGCATTCTGATCTGATGAGAAAAGCCCGTAACCCACCTTCCCTGGGGGCTCAGGGATGGGAGTGACCCAGGAGGGAGAAGGCGAGTCGGATCTGCACCTGACTGCAGAGGTCAAGGCTGGAAGAAGACCCTGGCGTGCCAGGCCCAGGTCCAGCCCCTTCCCCTTCCCCTTCCCGGGGACCCAGGAGCACCTCCAGGAGCAGGGCGGGGGCCAGGCTCTCACTCACCACACTGACTGATGTTCATGCGGAAGAGGGGGAGCTGAGAGCCGTTGGCGTTGATGCAGTAGAGATTCTGGCTGTTGAGCCTGGCCTCCCCCTGCTCCTGCCACAGCTGCATCCAGCGGATGTCGCAGCTGCAGTTGAAGAAGTTCTGCTCCAGTCTCCTGTGGGCAAGAAGAGAGGGGAAGGAACCCCTGAACCGAAGAGGGCCCAGCTCCCTCCCACACTGAGGCCCCCAGGGCCCCCAGCAGCTCTTTTGGGGATCAGGGAGAGAAGGAATTAAGCCAGCTCATGAAAGAAGAAAGAAAAGACGGAAGAATATAACTTATAAGTCCATGAATTTATTTAGTTTTAAAACCAATAAACTCATTTTTTTTCTAACAAATGACACCCATCTCACTTAATGCACCTAAAAGAAAAAAAAAAAAGAACCTTTAAAATGCATCAGGATGGGATGCTCCTATTCTCAAAACCCTCCCATGGCTTCCCATCTCAGTGAAAGTCAAAGACAAAGCCCAGCATAGCCTGCACCATCTCCATCATCTTTCTCATGTTACCTCCTACCTCTCTTTCCCTCTCCTCTCTATTCACCCCGAACTTGTCGTTGCCAAGTTCACTAGCATGCATGACTGGGTCATTCCCGCCTCAGGACCTTTGTCCTTGCTGTCACCTCAGCCTGCCAAGCTCTAACCTCACTCCCTCACTTTGAGGGATCACAGAACTTTCTACGACCACCCTCTGTACAAAAACCACTGCCAACCCCTGTGATGGTAATGCCCAGGCCCTGGCCCTGCTGTATTTGTCTTTCTAGAATTTACCATCACCCAGCATCCCTTTAAATATTTATTTCATTGTGTGTGTATGTGTGTGTGTGTGTGTTTCTATCTCCCCAAAGAAAAATTAAGTGACATCAAGATCACAGATGCAGTCCATTTTGTTCACTGCTGTATGCATGCAGTACCTAAAACGGAGCTTCACACATAAATTCTTGTGAATAAAAGGAGAGATAAAGAGAACTTTTCCCTGAGGGAATAGGTGGTTAGCTATTTCCAAGACATTCTCAAAGCCCATCTTGGGACCAGCTTTATTTCTTCATGAATTCAATGACTCGTTAATAAGCACCTGTTCCAGATCTGCCCGTGGGTTGAGTGCTGTTAATACAGAGACCAATGAGACACAGTCCCTGCACTCGGGCCCCGTGAAGAAGAATGTCTGATGGGGGAAGGGTCAAGTTCAAAGTCCTTCCTCTCCATGATCTGCCTTGTGACTTGGAGAAAGTCACATCCTCCTCCACGGGGTTATTAGGAAAATGAACGGCATTAATCAATCCCAAAACTCTTAAAGTAAAGAGCACCCGGCAAATCTGATCATTATGAAGAACATGATTCTCTGGACTGTGAAGGGGATCAATCTGTTGGTGCCCAGAGGGAGGGCACTTGGGTCACTGCACTAAAACCCTGGTTATTTTTGACAACTGGCAAATTCCAAAATAGTTAAGCATGCATCAGCATTAATCAGATTTCAGGGGAAAGTGACGCCCCTGCGGAGAGAAATCAGTATTTTGAAAGCACCAGGACACTTCAGGTAGAAGACACATACCCCTACAGGACAGTGTCCTCTTCACCTAAAAATGTCCATGACTTCTCTCTGCACAGGGCACTCTCTCGGGGGTGGGGGGGGGGGCAGAAAAGGAAAGGGAATTAGCCACCTTTACTGAACTTCTGCTTCTCACATCTTCTAGGAGATGGCCAGGATCACCCCCAGACAGAAGAGGGTGCCTGTCTGATGTTTGGATCGGGTAAGTCACCTGTCACAGCCCCTCCACTGGTATGGAAGAGCTGTCTCAAACCGCAGTCTGTCGAACTCCAAAACCCATGCCCTGGCCACCCCACCTACCCAATGCAGGGCATGGCAGGGCTGAATGCAGCTGCCAAGAGGAGTAAGAGAGGACCCTGACTTCAGGTGCTCCTGGAGGTAGAGACGGGGGGAAGGGCTGGCTGGAGGGAAGCCGTGAAGGCAGAGGGAATATTGCTGGTGGGGATGTGGACAGGAAAGCCAGACTTAGCCAAGGAGCACTGGGAAATAAAGCTGGAAGGGTGAATGGAAGCCAGGTGGTGGAGGAATTCCACCCACATCAGGAAGCATGCATCCAGGTACATCCAGAATGTATCCAGGAGACAGTGGGAAACCAATAAGGCCCTTAGAACTAGAGGACAAATAAATAAAGTAACCCTGTAAAAGAGCAAGCCAGCGAGACTGTACACAATAAACCAGAGAGGAGGCGGGCTAGACACAGGATATCTCATAACACAGGGTCACCATGTACCGTTGGGTAGTTTGTGCATTTCTCAAAGAATCCAAACAAAGCAATGAAGAGGGAATGAAATCCAGAACCTGGGCTCTGACATGGGGCTGTGTTCGCCCAGAGGGGCCATCTTTCTAACTCACACCAGGGCATCCTGCAGTCTAGTAGGGCCCAGCTCATCATTCTCAAACTTCTGGTCTCAGAAAACTCCTATTGACTTAAGAATTTTCTGAAGACCTCAAACAGCTCTTTTATGTGGGTTACATTTCTCGCTATTTACCATATTGGAAAATAAAACGGAGAACAATTTAAAACAGCAGAAGATATTACCACAAGTTCCATGGCAATGAGGTCATCCCATGTCATTCAGTCGCTGAGAAACGCCACTGTACCCTCCTGGGATAGTGAGAGAAAGGTCAATGATGTGCCCGGGTTATTAGGATAGATCTGACCTTGCATTCTCCCTGAGGGGGTCTTGAGAGGCCCCAGGTGGTCCTGAGATCACCAGGTGGGAACTGTCACCCAGTAAATAAGGGCCGAGAGTAAGTGGCAGAAACTGGGGAGAGGGAAGGGTGGATCCCACAAACATCCAAAGGAAGACGAGGCACCATCTGGCACTTAGTTGGGAGGAAGAAGAAAAGAAAAAGTAGAATACGAGATTTTAAGCTCCAGGGGACAGGAAGTCAATGGTGAGGAGAACTGTCTTTGGTTGGAAGCAGAAGAGAAGGAATCAGTAGAAAAGAGGAGGTGAGAACTATTAGGAATGGGGAGGCGGGGGTGATCACCAGTCCCTTGGGGAGGTAAAGGAAGGATGAGCCAGACCCAGTGGCACATGCCTGTGACTAGGGAGGCTGAGGCAGGAGGATTGCCAGTTGGAGGTGAGCCGCAGCAACTTAGCAAGACCCTATCTCAAAAAGAACAATAAAAAGGGCTGGGGATGTAGCTCAATGAAAAGCATTCCTGGGTTCAATCCCCAGTATCACAAAAAAAAAAGGAAAGGAGAAGGGGTATGGGGGAAACAGGGGGAAAGGAAGAAGAGGAGAAGGAAGAGGAGGAGGAGAGAAGAAGTAGCCTTGGAAGTATTTGCTTTAGGGTTAAGCAAAATGCCTACATGGCTAGAGCAGGAATAAAGAAGAAAGACAAAGTAGGAAGAAAGTGACAGAGAAATAATAGAAATTATAGGATAACAAATCACAGGTGCAATAGGGCCGGTGCTATACCAAAAGTCTTTTCCTTTTTTTTTTTTTTTTTTGATATCAGAGATTAAACCAGGGGTTTTAACCATTGAGTCATATCCCCCCACTCTTTTTTATTTTTTATCATGCAGCAGGGTCTTGCTAAGCTGCTTAGGGCCTTGCCATGTTGCTGAGGCTGGCTTTGAACTTGCAATCCTCCTGCCTCAGTCTCCTGAGTCTCTGGAATTACAGCTATGTGCCACTGTGTCCAGCTTTACCAAAAGTCTTACACAAATTCTTTTAATTAACCCTCACAAGGAGGAAGCCCAGGGAGGAAGGGGAGGTCTAGTGGCTTCCTTAAGAAAGCAGAAAGTCAAATGTGCCCCCTGGTGCGTGTGCAAACAGAGACCTGAGGAGCTGGAGTGGCTTGGATGCCCACTGCAGGGCTGCAGAGAGCCTGGCCACCCTGCTGGATGACACAAAGGCTCCAGATGCTTGAATATGTGCAAATTGAACCAGGTCAGCCTTGTTTTTCCCAGCTGCTCACTTGACAAGATGTGGTCATTCATTATTAAGTAGGTGTAAAAATACAAATTATCCACCTGGGTTGACAAGCGAGGGGCTTGGCAGCATCGCCTGCAGCCCCAGCAGCGCCTGCTGCAGTCCTGCCTCTTGTGGGAGCCTGGCGCTGCAACACGTCCCAACTTCTCAGTGGCTCCCAAGGTGGACATGAGTACACTGTGGCACCCTGGGCATCCCACATGCCAAGTGTCCTGAGGCTGGCAGGAGAATTCGGTGAGATGTTTGGGATGTGCCAAGGCTGCTGCCAGGGATAGGCTCAGTAATGGCCCTTGTTTTCTTCCATCCTTTCCCTCCAGGACCCTGCTTACAGGATCTGGTCCAGCTGAAAGGCTAGACTTTGAGATCTGGTTCTTCACTATAATCCAGAGTCTCCTAGAAACTGCAAAAGAATTTTGGGAGCCTCTTCCTCATCTTTCTGGACTTTCCTGTTTTATGTATTTATTTTTTAATGTGGTACTGGGCATTGAACCCAGGGTGCTCTAACCCTGAGCTACTTCCCCCATCCTTTGTTTTTTTCTTTGTTTGTTTGGAGACACTGTGTCGCTAAATTGCCTCCACTGGCCTTGAACTGGCAATCGTCCTGCCTCAGCCTCTCAAGCAGTTGGGATTACAGGACTGTGTCACTGTACCTGGCTTAGATTTTCCTCTTAGAGAACAAAACTCATACCTAGTACAAAGCACTTTGAGCCCTAAAACAGTGGCACCCTGGGCATTCCACTGAGCCAATCCGCAGTCATTTTTATATCCTGAGAAGAGTCTGCACAGTGAGGTGGGCAAGAAGAGATGCACATGCCCTGGATCTAAATGGTGCTGTCCATTCTGGTGCTCTTTTCCCGTCAAACCAGGCATGGGGTGGAGATTCCTTTAACCAGGGATTCAGAGGCAGATCTGCAGAACCTATAGCATGGCTCTCTGCATTCCATTAGCAATGTGGGTGACCCAGGACCTGATCAAGTACCCGGGGGCTTCCCACCCTTTAACTCAGCCCCATCCAGATGGACATGAGTACACAAGCACTTTGCAGCAGAGCTGAGGCCAGGACTGGGTGTTTAGAAAACACTGATTTCCCCATCATTGCTTGGGAAATTTGCTTCTCCCTTCCAAAGTATTAGCACTGCTAATGGCAATCCTGGGGCCAGGTGGTGGAAAATGGGGAGGGTACCCAATCGATAAGGGCAGCACCACTGTCACACAGTGTGGGCCTCCTTAAGGTAACAACAATCAGATGGCAGAAAAAGTACACAGACAGAAGATCTGAGTTGGTCATCAGCTGTGTCACTTTGAGCAAATACAATGGGTTGGATTATGTCCTCTAAAAAGATGTGTCCAGGTCCTAACCTTAGTCCCTATGAATGTGACTTTCTTTGGAAATTCAGCCTTTGCAGATGTGATCAAGTTAAAGATCAAAGGATGAGGTGGCTCTGGATTTCTGGTGGACACTGAACTCCCAGCCCAGAGAGGGAGATGACAGACAAGGAGATGGGGATGTTAGCCATGTGAGATGGAGGCGGAGACCAAAGAAATGCAGTAGGCAAAGAGTTCCAGGAGCACCAGAGGCTGGGCAAGGCAGAGAAGAATTCTCCCCTAAAGACTTTGAAGAGAGGGTGGCTCTGCTGACACCCTGACTTCAGACTGCTGGCCTCCAGAACACTGAAATAATAATTTTCTGTTGTTGTAGAGCACCAAGTTTGAAGTCATTTGTTATGGTTACCCTAGGAAACTAAGAGTGTGAGTAACTTAATTCTCCAAAACTCAGTCTTAACATCTGTAAGACGGTGATGATTGTATTTAACATTCCTTCTCTATAGAGTTATTGAGAGAATTACATTCACATGCTCCGTGAATTACAAGGGGGCTATAATAAAGCAGAAATTGCTATTATAGCAATACTGTTATTAATGTGATTGTTTAGTGACTTCTTCAGGAGCTTTCAAAGTGGTTATGGCCAAAAAAGGGAAAAGGAACGTGCCAGAATAAGCCCAAACTCATCGCTGATACTGAGTTAATATTTTACCAAGTCGATTAAATCTGCAAATCATACCAGAGGTAATTATCACTTTGCTTTAAGAAAATGAAATATTCCAATCTATTTTAATCATGTCTGCTCTGTGCGTGCAGGGTATTAAGAGAAGATGCATTAATGGTCCTCAGGGTATTTCTGGAGGGTTTCTGTGCTGTGGGTTGATATCCTCCAGTGCCTCTGCCATTGCCTAGATGGTATCATGGGATTCAGAATCCAAGCTTCTTTTCTTTCTAATTCATTCTTTATCTCTAAGACAATCTGTCCAATTCTTGCTCTGATTTTTAGACAAATAGTTCCAGTCTTCTCCGTCAGGAGAAAAAAACAGAAAAACCATCTTGCCATAACCAGAAGCCTCTGAGAGCACAGCGCCATGCCACGCTGAATTCCTTTAAAGCCGGAAATAGTGTTGGCTGCTCCAAAGCAAGTCTTGAAAGATGCCCCCATTTGGCTCCACGAGAGGAACCCCACCTGGAGCTGGGGATATAGCTCAGTTGGTAGAGTGCTTGGCTTGCATGCACAAGGCCCTGGGTTCAATCCCCAGAACCACCAAAAGAAAAAAAAAATAGAGAGAGAGAGAGAGAGGAACCCCACCTGGACTGGTGAGAGGCTATAGACCATGCCTTGTCTCCCAAAAGTAGGTGACAAAGTAAAGGCAGGATCTTGGTATATGGCAAGATGGCCACCCTGTGATGTCACTCAGAGGGGAGGCTGTCATCTGAAAGAGGTTTATGGAAAGACCCTGAGCACACTGGACATGTTGCTGAGTGGGTAAGGGAAAGAGCATGGTTCTTTGGAAACAGCTGTCCCAGCTGGTGATAATTCCAGAAATCATAACACTAATTCCTAGATTACCATGTACCAGCTCTGTGATCCTGGGACGCCTGTTCAACTTGGGCAGCCTCAAATCCCTCATTTGTAAAACTGGCTACACTGATACTGCCTTTGTGGATTTGTTCCAAGGATGAGATGGAACCTTGTACACCTTAGGTGCTTAATATGTGCCTCTTCCTTCTCATATCCCACTGGAAGTAGGACCCTGGGCAGTAGACACTCAGTCTTTTCAGTAGAAAGGCTCAACACATCAAATTGTCAAGCAAGGAAGAGGCTGGTTGGGGGCACAGCAGAGCTCCTCCAGAGACCCTCTGTGAAAGAAAGAAATATGCTAAGAAATTGCCAAGGACCTGCTTGTCCTTCTGTAGCTGCAGACCATCACTGAAGCCTCACTCTTGTGGCTGAAGACTTTCCCGGCTGCCACAGCACGCTGAGCCTTCTGCCCCCCAAGACCAAAATGGTTTCTTCCTGAAAACACCAACCCATCTCCACACCCCAGGCCTCAGGAGGCATCAGCAGACCCTGGCAGTTTACATGGCTCATGGCAGATGGTGCCATGTGGACTAATCAAGAAGTCGGACAAGAAAATACTACCCTCTCTTCTGTTTGCCAGGAAGGGGGATTGTTTGGATTTTAATCATAGCCAAAGCTAAGAGCCAATGCACGGCCTCCTCCAGCCAAAAAAGATAAATTTTCCACTCTCAACATTCAATTCTTCCTCAAAAAATAGACCCCAACCAGGGCAATAGCTCCTTGGAGGGGGGCTTCTTTATCCTCCAATATGATTTTTCCTTATTTAACAATATGACAGGAATAAAATGCTCCATGGACACGGTGGCACTCACACGCTGACTCACACTGGAAGGAATGTCTTCATTCCCCCATAAGTTACATCCAGCTCACAGGAGTATTGATCCCAGGCAAAGATGAATGCAGAATCCCATGATCCTCTGGGAGAAATCTGACATTTTCTTTAAATATATACCCATGCAACAACTGTTTCTAAATCTCCACAAAACAGGTCACCAGGGCACCACACCATTGATTTCATATCCAACGATTTCTTAGAAAGAGCTCTGAACATTTTCTCAATAATTCAGCCAACAGCAGACTCCAGATGTCCCCCCAGAGGGACACAGTCCCCGGCCTCCCCTAGACAAAGGGATAGGCATCACTGGATAACTAGATTCAAGGCTCCCAGGAAAGAGAGCCCCCTGAGCCCCCTATCAGTTCAAGGGCAACTTGGGAAAGATCCACAACCATGCACTTTTTGAAAATTAGCATAGGAAAGAGTCTTGCATTGGAAACAGATCAAATAAAGCTGGGAGATCATAGAGCACAGGGGTCAAAACTTTGAGCCTACACTCTACCTCTTTTTTACTGGATGACCTTGAACAAGATACTTAACCTTGCTAAGCACGTCAGTGTCCTCAAATGTTACGTGATAGTAATTATTCCTACCATACAGAATTCTTATAAGGATTAAATTAAATAATATGCATAATTTAACAGATTACTGCTTGGCATGAAGGAAGAGCCCAGAAATCAGTGTCAGTGGTAGTCATGTTAATTCACCTCTGAGATCTTTGCCACCTACAAAGATGCGAATGAATTTGTCACATGGAGTATAACAGTCTGGCATCTGTGTGTCTGTGATGTGGTCTATTTTTGTTGTTGTTTTATAAACAAATACGTATATGTATTTACTTCTTTCTCAACTTGAATAGGAGTCTTATTGGTGTCCATCTAGAGCTCTGCCAGAGGAGACTAACGACTCTGATCACCATGTCTATGCTACCTCCACCAGAGGTGGGAGGGGCACAGTTCTAAGAGAGGAAGGCAACCCACAGCACATTGTCCTAAACTCTGCAACACCTTTTTTTTTTTTTAAGTACTGAGGATTGAACTGAGACTTGCTCTATCACTGAGCCACATCCCTAGCCCTTTTTGTTTATCATTTTCATTTTAAGACAAGATTGCACTAAGTTGAAGAGGCTGACCTCAAACTTGCAATGCTCCTCCTGTCTCAGCCTCTTGAATAGCTAGGATTACAGGCAAGTGTCAGAGCACCCAGTTCCACACTTTTAAAGAGACAACCTCTGTACATCCTATGCCTTTTGAAGCACCATATGTTCAGGGAGGCTCATGAAGACAAGGACAGTCCACAAAACTGTCATGGGATGAAAGGCTCTTGGGACACTGGATGTAAATATTCTCCTTCCTGCCATGAGCTCAGGTCTCGCCAGTGAGAATAAGTTGAAAAACCAAGAGCCTAGGCAGAAGTCCAAGGTCATTGCTGCTTGGTAAAGACAGTAAAGCAATCCGCATTCTGTGAATTTGGGTCTGAGTCACCAAGTAAATGGGAAAACATGAGTGGCGTGTCTGGAACTCTGACTCCCTAACTTCATCCATGCCTCAATTCCTCTTCAATTTATTCCTTGATTTATTCCCTTAACATAATATGCTGTCCTTCATGCACAGAGATGACCCTGATGACTCACACATCAACATGAGTTATTTTTTCCAGCAGTGGTCACGAATTTTCACTCATCAAGCTAACATTTGTGTGCACAAAATGGCTGGCCTGTGACAGGCTGCACTGATCAGCTCTGGGATGCAGCAAGGCTGAGCTGTCCCCTCCTGGGGTGCCTATATAAGCTGATGGGAGATCATGAGTAGTGGAAAGGAGTCAGGCCACAGGGGCTCAATCCTGGCTCTGCCGGTTCTTATGCAATGCAATTGAGGTTGAACCTTGAATGCATCTTTAGGGATCAGCATTCTCACCCATGACCGGCAGAGAATAATACCTACCTCCTATGATTCTCGTGATGCTCAATCTAAGGTCATGTGAATAAAAGTGTACCTGATAATTCATAAAGTTATGCATCACAAATATTATTTACTATGAATTGATGCTCTATTATCATTAATACTAAAGCTATTATTACTAATCACCTGTAGATCATAAAAATCCTGATAGGAAATGAGATTCTGTCTTCTGAAATGGATCATGCTCAGGGCATGAGAAATGGAGCAACGGGGCTTCCTGAGTTGGCTCTCCCTGAACTCTCTGCATGATCCCACCAGCAGCCCTCTCAGGTGTACACACAGCCTTCAGGTAGCTCCCGGTGCGTGACGCTTCTCCCCACCCAACCAGTATCACCACTTCACCGCCTGCACAGTCTCAAAACCGAACTTACAGTTCCCGAAGACTCAGCGTCTGGAAGAGCTGCCACGAGAGTGTGGTGAGGCGGTTGCTCGACAGGTTTCTGCAAGATTGGCAAAACAAAGAGGAAGTTAAAGGACAGACCTGCCATTAGTCAGGCTCTTGAGAGTGAGTTTGGTCATTTCACTGGAGCCCAGCTTTGTTTTTCCTCTTTTGTGTCCTTCAACTCTACTAAAGATATATTTGCTAATAGTTGAGGCCACAGATCAGGTTTGGATAGAATTCAGAAGACTTTTAAAAGACAAGGTTTTACAAATCAAAGAAATAATAGGTTATTCTCCCAAACTCTCTCTCCATAATAAAAGTCCATGCCTGTTGGAAGCCCCCCTCCACTAGGAGCCCAGAGAGCTCTGAGCCCAGGTGTGTTCTTAACAGTCGCCCAGGTCAACAAACTCTTCAAGTCACCTACAATCCTCCCAGCCCATCCCTCCCCCTGCAAACAGGCACATCCGTGAGATCAAGACATCAGCCTTTTGTTCACATGTCTGTTCTCCTCCTAATGGCTATTTAATTGTTCTCATTAGGATGTACAGGGGGAAGGAGCAGCCATTAGTCTTCTGAATAAAAGAAAAAACACGCCCACGGTTATTACTTTGCCAGGCTCAACAAACAACTTTTGATGTGATAACAGCCCTTACAGGCAGCGTTAGACACTGCTAGAACTGAAGTGGCACCTGAGGAACAATGTACTCATCTACGGATGGGGTGGATGGTGATGCTGATTCCATTTAGGTAAATCCACACACACACACACACACACACACACACACACATGTATTTGTGTCTATTAAACATGAAAGTAATGAAAGCAAACACAGACTTTATTATAAACACACATGTGCTTACACATGCACCTATATTTACATGACTTTTAGAGCAGATATTTATGGAAAGTCAACACAGGCTGCACTGAGGGTGAGGGTGCTGACCACTGAGGGAAAAGATGAGGTCACTCCGGAGCCCCGAGTTCAAGGTACAAATGAATGAGGAGAAGAGCATAAATCAGGTAATGGACGTAACCGATGTGGAAGAGGGAGAAGGCTACTTCAGACAGGTGCTCTCAGAAGAGCCTCCTGACAAGGTGACAGAAGACCTGAGTCAAGAGGAGAAGGAGGTGAGCACCAGGGAGAAGTGTTGGGGGCAGTAGAAATAGTAAGTGCAAGGGTCTGAGAGGAACACCGGAGCTAGGAAGGGAGTGGAGGAGTGGAGGAGTGGAGCTGGGATAACGATAACGGGAGAGGGGCTCATGCCACACCCACCTTGCTGGCCACGGGAGGAGACCAGATTTTACTCAAAAGAGCAGTGGGAAGGCACAGGATGGTTTGGAGTGGGGGACATGACATAATTTAATTACCATTTTTTATGGAAGACCAAGCCTGAACGTTGGCTGGCCAGTTTGAAGGTTACAACAGTGCTACAAGAAAAAGGGGTGAGGCCATTTAGTGAGGTAAGGAAGTCTACCAAGAGATCACGTGGAGGCAGTGGGGTCAAGGGTTTCCTCCCTGAGACTATTCCATTTAAGATGCCTGACTGGGCGCAATGGGGCACACCTGTAATCCCACAGACTTGGAGAGCTAAGGCAGGAGGATCACAGGTTCTAATCCATCCTGGGCAATTTAGTCTCAAAATAAAAACTAAAAAGGGCTGGGTGTATAACTCTGTAGTAGAGTGCTTCTGGCTTCAATGCCCCAGGACTACTAATAGTAAGATGCCTGTTAGATATAAATTGTTTTTTTGCAGTGCTTGGACATAACCTGGGGCCCCACCTATGCTAGGCAAGTTCTCTGCCACTGAGTTACACCCCAGCCCCTATTAGATAGCTAAAGCAAGAAATGGGTCTATAGCTCACAAAGGGAGACTATACAAGAACAGATACTCAAATTTAAGAAACACCTAAGGGACAGTCCACACTTCTTTTTGATGCAGCCTATCTGTGATGAGTTGGCCAGATCTGAACTGGCTAGGTCTCAGGGACAGCCTGTGCTGGTGTCGGGAAGGTAGCCCCACCGTGCAGGGGACTGGTGGGGAAGGGAAGAGGACCTTAGGTAGGTGGCTCCCACAACTAGTGTTCACTGTCTTCCTTTCCAGCGCTCCCTCTGTTCAAATTCTCTAAGACCACCACACCCAGCTCTTGAGGCTGGCCCCCATGGCCCATGTGCTCATTCACTTCCTCTCTGCGGGGCCCAGAGCTATCCATCGTATTCTGATTCATGAAATCCCTAGTGACCATACTCCTCCTTCCTATAAGCTTCCACCACTCCCCCATCAGCCAGAAGGAAAGAACTGACCAAAGAATGTCATCTGGGACAAGTCCCTACAGCGGTCCATCTCCTGCTTGGAGGGGTGGAGCAAGGGATCTGACAGATGTCCCCAAGAGTCACTGCCCCTACCTAGATTCTAGGCTGGGAGCTCAGAATCTAAAGTCAAAGACAACAGGTTGCAATACCATTCTCTGAGTCTGTAATAAATCTTTGTGTTTGAATCATCCAGGTAGAAATCTTTTCTCCCCTCTGTTTTTCCTGGTTTTACTGTCTATACACAACAGCATTCTTGGCAGCAAAAGATGGACAAGCCCACACTTCCAAATCCAAAGGGAATGCTGGAAAGCAGCTCAGTCTCTGCCATTAGCTCCCCGCCCAACACTAATGCTCCCGGGAATAAAACCCATGGTTCTGAAGCTGAGCAGCAGCATCCTTCAGGGACTCAGAAGCCAGAAACCCCAGGCTCTTTGAACCGTGAGGGGCATGTCCCTGGTAAAACCCAAAATCAAGCGGGAGACAGGAACGATCCAGGTGAAATGGGCAGCCTTGCTCATCCCCAAGAGAGGAGCAGGCAGGGAGCCTGCCAGGAGTTGGGGGAGCCCCAGGCAGAGAGCAGGCTGCCGGCAATGTCCTTCCACAAAGGTCATGCTTTGCTACATTAGGCAGAAATGTCAAGAGAAAATTGGATTCTGAAAGAAAGAAAATAACAGGCATTCTGGGCAAATAAAGAATAAGAAATAGCATTATCTCCTCCTTATTTCAAGTTAAAGGAGGGTGGGGACCTGGGATACACCTGATAAGGGGGGAGGGCTCCTGCTCTCCCAGGAGTGACCAAGCTGCACCTCCTGCCGATCCCCCCCCCCCAACCTCCCAGTCCCACCTGGAGGAAGGTGATCCCTTGGATTCCTCCAATACTTTGTCCAAACAGAGTGGCCACCACAGCACTCACACACTCTGTCCACACACACACACCACACACACAAAACCCTGTGGGTATTCCCAGACATAAGGACACTGTATGGCACAAGTCCAGGGAAGGGGACAGTATGCAGAACCTGTGCAGCCGTACACAGTGCCCTCCTAGAAACACACCCAGTCCCAGAGACAAACATACACAGAAAAGACAAGAAGTAAGGCAAACACATGTAGCACAAAACAAGAAGGGTAAGCCTCTGGCCAGCCTGCCCTTCCAGGCATTTATCAGTTCTCATGGTGTAGGGTAAATGGGGAATCTGAGGCACAGGGCTTCAGTAGGACTCACCACCCACTCAGAACTCACTGCCCCAATTTTCCTCCTAGCTGGCACCTCACCTGTATTCATCTGTCATCACTTATTGATGAGCTGGTTACCCTGCTCATCAGACAAGACTTTAATTAAGAAGCATTCTGCCTCTGAGCCCCACGGCCACCTCCTCCTGAGGCCTCCTCCCTAACAGATCCATTATCACCCGTCTCTGACTTTTGCTGGGGTCAGTAGCCAGTGTCCAAGCCACCTGACCATTGAATTAATTTGGTGAGCAAGATTTTATGAGACGATGCATCAGACACTATCCCAAAATCAAGCTCCATGACATCGCCCCCTCTATCTCTCATCTGAGACTCCCAAACAAAGTCATTAATTTTGTCCTGCACAACTGGCGCTCTCATAGCCAGACTCTGGAGTCCAGAGGTAATAAACGATGACGATGCAGCTACTGGGTGCTCTGGGAACATGAGCCAGACACACATATGGCGAAACGCTGGGCCCTGAGGAGTGATAGGGCTGAGATAGCCCTTCCTGAATTAATCCTGTTTTGGACAGGAATCCTTCCAGGCAACCAACCTCCCCTCAGGCTGGTAGAAGGCTCAGCAAGGTAAGTGGTCCTAAGGGGGGCACCAAACTCTAGCAGGGCAAAGCCCCATGACTGGGGAGGCTATCACCCTAGGAATCCAATTGCCCTACAGAAGGGTCAGCAAGGTGGATGCTGTTGCCAAGAGAAACCAAGCTACCAGGCGCAGTGGCGCATGCCTGTAATCCCAGAGGCTAGTGAGGCTAAGACAGGAAGATCTCGAGTTCAAAACCAGCCTCAGCAATGACAAGGTACTAAGCAACTCAGTGAGACCCTGTTTCTGAATCAAATACAAAATAGGGCTGGGGATGTGGCTCAGTGGTCGAGGGCCCCTGAGTTCAATCCCCCATAGCCACACACCCACCTCCAGCAAAAAAAAAAAAAAAGGAAGAGAAACCAAGAAGATGAGTTCTCCTATTGCTCTAAACATACAACCTGGGGGGGGGGAATGGGGGGCTAAGATTTGAGAAGGGGACACTAATCCCCCTCCACAAGTGATCCTGCAGATGGAAGTCTTGGTGAATTTCCTGGTTTAAGAGTGAGTCCAACATTTGGAAAACCTCCTTTTCTATTGGCAGAGATAGGCCCGGTGGGCAGGTATTATTAGGATTCAAATGTGGGAAGGATTGTTGGGGGCAGGTGCCCCAAATCCCTGTGCTATTACACCAGACCACCCCACCCAGGCACTATTCACCCAGCATTTCACTGGATCATGTCGGCACCACAGACCTTTTGATAATGCTCCCACCAAAGCCTGCAGGTTCACTCCACCTCTGCACCTCCCCAGCCCCTACTTGGGCTTTGTCTTCTGTTTTTTATGAGATTATAAAACATGATGGTGATTTGTTGCAGAGTGAATTGTGCCCCTGTCCCCAAATTTATATGTTGACGTCCTCACTCCCAGTACTTTAGAATGTTTCTATACTTGAAGATAGGGCCTTTAAAGAGGGGAT